TCATAGAATCATCTAGGTGTTCTGGAAAGGAGGGAGGGTGAGGGGAAGGAAAGCAGGAAGGAGGAAGGGAAGCAGGAGGAAAAGAGGAAAGAAGGAACAAAGAAGGGAGATAAGTAGGAAGAGGTTGGGAGGAAGGGAGAGAAAGATAGGAAGGGAGGGAGAAAGGAAGAAAGGAAGGAGGGGGGAGGGTAAGGGGGGGGCAAGAAGAATGGCTTGGCTCTGGTAGTTCACACCTGTAATCCTCACTACTCAGAAGGCTGAGATCTGAGGACTGTGGTTCTAAACCAGCCCGGCGCTTACCTCCAATTAGCCACCAAAAAGCCAGAAGTAAAGGTGTGGCTCAAGTACACTAGCCTTAAAAACAACAACAACAAAAAAAACTTAGGGACAGTGCAAGCACCAGGAGCGCACGCGCGCGCGCACACACGCACACACACACACACACACACACACACGAAGGATGGAGGGAAAAGGGCTGTGTCGAGTCAGTCTTCTTGATCAAATTATTTCAATTACATTTTAGAGAAAAGGGTAATAACAAGTTAAAGACGCCAAGAGAAATCAATCTGGCAAACGCAGATGGCACAAATTCTCTGGGACATCTGCTTTGTCCAGCGAGTATCAGGAGACCTTGGAGGTGAGGGAAATGAGGATTGAAGACTCTGGACGGTTACCAAGCCAGGGTAGGCCAGGCTGCAGATCCCCACTGAACGTGCCAACTGTAAAAAGCATATGGTTTTCTTCAAGAAAATATGACAGAATTTTGAGACATATTTTTGAGAACCACATGACTTGAATATTAAATTCTGCTAATGTATAGTTCTGTCAAGATTATGTTTAATAAGTCTTCATATGTTAAGTATCTGTAAGCAGAATGTCTGGGCTTTGCTTTTCAAAAGCCAAGAAGCAGTCAAAAAAAGAAGAAAAAAAAAGAAAGAAAGAAAAGGAAAGAAGAAACATGGCAAAATGTTGACATTTGTTGAGCTTCAGTGATTAGTACATTTGGGTTCATTATAATATTCTATTTTTGTGCAAGTGTAAAATCTTCCATAATCACAGGCAGAATTGAAAGAAATGAATGGAAAATGTGCTGACTGAATTCTTCCTTTCCCAATTTGCTTAGAGGGGGAAACAAAGAAACAAAATCCTCTCTGCCACATGGGGAGAATTCCCAGCCCTCCTGAGCCCATGGTCCTGAGTTTCACAGAGTCTACAAAGAAAGCCATGTCCCACCACGCCTGACACCATCCAGGGCTGGCTGGTGGAAAGGTCACTTGAGGAAGGGCTGCTGGTGTGTGTGTGTGTGTGTGCGTGCGCGCGCATGCATGCGTGCATGCATGTTTGATTTTGTCTATGTAATGCTGGTAGGCCATTCTTTTTTAAATTTTTCCCAGGAGTTCCACTTTGTCAGGTTCACACCCACCCACAACATGCCTCACCCCTAACCCCTCTCCCTTACCTCCCAAGCTACCTCCAGGGCTCCGCTGTCTCACGCGCACATGAACTCGCTCCAAGAGGTCCTTTAAGAGGACGCGGTATATTTTAATAATAAGAAGCCAGGTGGCGTGGTACCATTCAGAGACAGCTGACACTGGCTTTCTCCAGCTCCCTCCTGCACGGCCGAGAACCTTGAACCGCAGTGAACATGAAAAGCAGGCTGGGCACCCATCGCTCATGCCAATGTCCTAGCTCGTGTGTGTGTGTGTGTGTGTGTGTGTGTGTGTGTGTGTGTGTGTGTGTGTGACAGAGAGGATGGGCATCGAGGCTCAAGGCCAGCCTGGGAGAAAACAAGTGCACAAGATGCTTTTTCCAGAAGGGCCGGCACCATGGCGCAGGCTGGGTATACCCCGGCATGCTCTGGGCAGGAAGCAAGAACTGCCTCAAAAATAAGGGGCAAAAAAATACAGTTTGGAGGCGTGGCTTTGTGAAGAGAGTGCCTGCTAAGCAAGTGCTTAGCAGGGCCTGGAGTTCCAAACCCCAGCACTGCCAAAGATAGGGAAGATAGGAGCTATGGGTGCAGCTGGTGCGGTGCCCCTGGCAGGGACATCTTCAACACCACAGCAGTGGCTACACCTGGCACACCAGGGCCCACGAGTTACTGGAGAGAGGACAGGGCTGCAGGGCTCTTGAGTGAGCAATGGCTGGCTCAGAGGAGGGAGGGTGGGAAGCATGGGGGGGGGGGGGGGAGTCAAGGCTGAGCTCCTCAGAGCCAGCTGCAGCAAGGGACAAGAGAACAAAGAAGAGGAGGAGAGGAGGGCCACAGCTAGTGTGGCAGGAGCCCACGAAAAGCAGAAGGCTTTGGTACAAAGAAACCATGTGAAGAAGCAAGCCTTCGACTCCAGGCTGAGGCCATCCATTACTCAGACACCCAAGGCCTGATCTGTGGTGAACTTCCGGGTCTTCAGCTCAGTGGGACTGAGCCAAGCAAGGTGGCAGGAATGCTATGCTGACCCCACTCGGGTCATAAGCATGGCAGCCCACATTCTGGGGCACATGTGTAGCCACACCTGGTCCAGTAGTGTCCTGAACTGTGACGCCATCGATCACCCTCAGCTTTTGAAGAATTTAAGCACACACCCACCCCCTGGCCTGTCATCCCCAGGACATGGCCAAGCCACACAGTGAGTCTCAGACCTGCCTTCACCTATGAGAGCCCCTGTCCAGGAGAGGCCTAGGCCACCCAGGCCAGGCTGCTGGGCCTGCACACCTCCTGCGCGAGTGTGGACACTGCCAGGGCCTCGGGTGCAGGGGAAAGGCCCAGCCCACAGCTGAGAGGTTCAGAGGACACTGGATGCCACAGAGGCCAGGCCCCAGGGGCCCTAACCATAGGGCCCTGACCACAAGAAACCTATGGCCCAATCATGGATGGACTCAAACTTTGGCAGCTGGAGGGGAACAAAGTAGGACCCCAGGGCGCTCCAGTCTAGCTCGCCCTCCATACCCCTGCTTCCTCTCCATCTCCACCCTCTGCTTCCTGCCCACCCCTGCTCCCTGCTGCCTGTCCATTTCTATCCCCTGCTTTCTGTCCACCTCTGCCATCTGTTTCCTGCCAATCCCTACCCCACTTCCTGTCCATCCCTGCCCTACTTCCTGTCTACCCCACTCCCTACTTCCACCCCCTGCTTTCTGCCCACCCCCCCCCACTCTGTCCACCCCACCCTTTCTTCCTGCCCACCCTGCCCCACTTCCTGCCCATCTCGCCCCGCTTCCTGTCCATCTCCACCCCACTTCTGTCCACCTCCATCCCCTGCTTCCTGCCCACCCCACCCTACTTCCTGTCTACCTCTGCCCCCTGCTTCCTGTCCACCCTGAGGGAGGCAGTTCATCATGCCCTCTGCCATGACAGTCTCTCCACAGACATGAGCGGACAGGGCCGGTGATCATGGACAGAAACCTTTGAACTCACGAGTAGAAACAAACCCTCCTTCCTTTCAGCTGAGTGCTGTCAAGTGGCAGCAGGGTTGCCCCTCAGAGCCTTGGGCTCAGGAGGACTCCAGCACCATGTACATGGGAGTCGGGGTTCCTAGGAAAGGATGCTGGGGCCAGGTGCAGGCCTTCTCTGACAGTCTGAAGGTCTGATGGTATTGTTCCTCAGTCTCCCTGAGGTGTCCAGGGGTATCTGCCAGTAATGGCACAGTAGGGAAGGGAAGGGCACTGGCCACTGGCCAAGAGTACAGAGACGAGGCTTTCCCTTCTCCCAAGCCCATGGGAGCTTTCCCCATCGCTAGAAAGCAATCTGTCTCTTCTCCCTTGGAGAACTGTTTTCCCTCCTAACATGGAGATGTGTTTCTCTCACATGCCTTCTTCATCGTCGCTGACCAGCCTATGTAGAGGAAGATGAACTTCTCCATGTCACTTCCATTTGCTTCCTCAGGCCTGGCAGGCTTTGCATCCCTTCACCCCATCAATTGTCTGCCACACACCAGCTGCCTGCCATCCAAGAAGCGCCTCAAGTCATCTTGTAGGCTTTTCTCCCCTTGAAACAGAAAGTCTTTCTACTCAAGACATATCTTAACTAAGTATGGAAGGAACCCAGAAGCCACAAACCATGTCCTAGAAGGGTTAGAAATATCACAGATGGCTCTGCCTGTCTCTCAGCAAAAATAAACCGGCCAAGTGGAGCACACCAGGCCGCTATGGAATCACAAGTCACAATCCCCGAGGCAGAGGCCAGAGAGGCATCTCCACAAGCTGTTCCTTCTAAATAAAACCGCGCGCACAGGTGTCTGCCTCACGGAGATTATACCTGTGTGCATACAGTGACAGAGAGGTCTAGTATTTTTCACGAACTGAAGATAAAATTCCAGATCCTGAATTTATTAATTCATTTAGTTGTTGCTCTGAGGAATATAAAATAGCACCAAGTCAAATATAGTCCTTTTGGAGCAGTACTGGGGACTAACTCAAGAGTCCTGTGCCCACCAGGCAAATGCTCTACCACTTGAGCCACACCTCCAGCCATTTTTACCTTAGCTATTTTTCAAACAGGACCTCCAGCCTTAAAGTGCCAATCTTCCTACCTGCACCTCTCACCACTGTGCCCAGACAATGCATGTGGAGATGGGGTGTCTCATGAACTTTGTGCCTAGGCTGGTGTTGAACCACCACCATCTCAATCTCCGCCTCCTCCATGTCTGGGATTACAGGCGTGAGCCACCACATCCAGTGAGAAGCAATGCCACTTTCTATAAAAAAAAAAAACAAAAAACACTTCCTGGACATTTTACAGGACACTGTTTCATGTCAGAGGCAGCCATCACCGAGAGCCAACAGGAGCACTGGAGTCACTTACCAGCGCCCCTCCCGATGAGAGGAAGCAGCAGTGCACCCGTACAGACCGGTGGTGCTCTGCCCAGGGTGCGGGGCAGAATGTCGGGGGCAGCCTCTGCCTCTGCTACTCAGCATAGCTGTGACCGAATGCCTGGCAGTCAAACTAGGAGAGACTTGTTTTGCTAAACGATGAGGCTGGTGAGTGAACACAAATCAGTCAGGAGTCTAACCTTGATCCCCAGCTCGATGTTCTCCCCACCATACACGTCCATGCCCGGGTCCAGCAGGCCGATGTCCCCAAAGAATCTCCTGTTGACCACAAAGGAGCAGCCGATCATGGCAGGCGTCCTGTGAGAGAGAGAGAGAGAGAGAGAGAGAGAAAGCTAAGCTAAGCTCAGCAAAGCCCAACAGCAGCCCTCGGCTTCCCCAGAGCAAGTGCTGGTCCATGCCTGTCTCCCAGGGACCCTGGGTCCCCATCCCCAGTTCTCTGTAAGGCCAGGAGCCTTTGGTTTCTCAGGACACCGACGCGATGAGGACTGGTAGATGTGATTCTCATTGTGCAGCACAAGTTCATGGCAGATCCCATGAGTCCACAGAAGACTCCACAAGTCCACTGCAGACCGCATGAGTCCACAGCAGGCCGCACAAGCCCACGGCAGGCCCCATGAGTCCACAGCAGACCCCACAAATCCACAGCAGGCTCACGAGGCCACGACAGACCACGTGAGTCCATAGCAGGCCCCACAAATCCTAGAGATGAAGGGCAAGGCAGGCTTGCTCTCTGCCCATGAAGGAGAGGAGATTTAACATGTGGAGTGTGAGGGGGAATTGGAGAGGAGGCATGGAAGGCACGGGAGCCAGACTCCATGTTCTGTGGGGAGAAGCTGCTTTGTGTTTTTCTGTACTGAGGTTTCCACTCGGATCTCATGCTTGCTAGGGAGGTGCTCCTCTGCTGAACCACGCCTCCAGTGGTTTTTGAGATAGGATCTGGTGTCTTGTCCAGTCACACATTTGGACAGTGTCACAAACTATTGTTGTGCTGTTTTTGCCTCTGTTTCCAGATTTATCATCACCCTGGATACCACATTGATTTCCTCAGCACCCACCCATGTCTAGCCATGTTTCTAGTGCTACTTGGCTATTTCTAATAACCAAGATATACTTTTCCATTCAAGCACCACATAGTAATTAATTGTCATCATCACCACCACCACCATCATCATCACCACCACTATTATTATAATGACAATCACCATTATCATCATCATCACTGCCACCACTTACTGAGCAGAACCATGTACAAAGCACCCTTGTCTATTTGCTGTACAAAGTAGTGTGTCAGCATGTGTCACCTAGGTACACAATACCTGACTCCAAGTTAGACTGCAGAGCTATTGTAACAAGCCCAGCATGATACGACTGCAAACCAGACATGCAGACCCATGGTAATGGAAGATCCAGAGATCAACCCACAGAACACAGCTCCAGCCTTCTTCACAGGTTGCAAGGGCACACAGGGAGGATGAGGAGAGATAGCGCCATCCACGGGGAGAAGGCTGGAATGGTTCCCCGTGCCTTGGACTGCACATAGACCAGCACAGCTCAGAGGCCCTCATCCAGGTCAAAGGCCTGAGACTACAGGAAAGCCTGGAGAAACGCTTCTGGACACACAGACGAGGACTTTCTGAACAAGACTCGGGAGCTCAGGAAGCAGGAGCCAGAGCTGACAGTGAGGCTGGATCCCACACTGCCTAGCACAGGAAGACTGGTGAGCAGACAGCACACGCTCCACGCACTGCCCCAATGCAAAGAAGCAGATCAGGCCACCCGAAGACACAGAGGCATAGGGCAAGAGCAGAGTTCCTGATCTGAGCCCTGTTCTCTTCTGAGAAGGCTTCATGGAAGAGCTAGCCAGACCACCACATGGCCACACTACACCTGACCACAGATCCACGTGGCCACAAACCACACTGCACCTGACCACAGAGCCACGGGACCATGCCATGCCCCACCACAGAGCCAGATGGCCAGGAGACCACGCTGAGAGGTTGTGTCAGATTTCGGTCACTGTAACAAGTCTCGGAAATGGACTGCCTTATGAAGAGAAGAGGTTGGTTTGGGCTCATGATTTGGAAGGCTCCAATCTATAGTCAGACTCCAGGTTTTCAGGCCCCTGCTGGGGGCCAGAAGGCCACTGGGAAGAGCATGGGGGGGGCAGAACCACTCACTCCTGGCCAGAGAGCAAAGAAGAAGGGGAGGGATCGAGGCCCCCCCCCCGCCAGGCCCCCAATAACCTCAAGACCACTGCACGGGTTCCATCCCCCAGGTCCCAGCTCCTCCCGACAGAGCTGTCTGGGGACCAAGCCTTATATTAACCCAGGCCTCTGTGGGACATTTGAGACACAAACTACAGCACGAGTGAAGTGGCCAGGCACGGACTCATGCAAAGGAGGGCAGAGCCAGGGGTAGCCCGTGGCGCTGGGTGCCACATCCTGCCCCCAGGGCCAAACCAGCTCAGCTAGGCTACGGCTCAGAGCCCTGGCACTGGGTGGGGCAGGGAGGAGGGATAGGAGGCCCCCCTTGGACAATTTTGGGGAACTGGTACCTACTTAACACTAAGAATATAATTTGGGGGAAGGAGTTGTCCAGTGGGTGCAGAGTTCTCCACTGGCAAAATGCTATCATTTAATACCCTAAGTCCCATTTGCCTCTGCTCTACATAGAAACACCCAAAGGGTAAGTAGCCCTGCCTTAAAAAACCAAACAGCACCATGGTCAGCACACAGATGCCTCACAGCCAGTGGATGGTCGGCTGGCACACCGCAGCTAAGCCAGGGATTACTGGCCAGGAGTAACCCACACCCAAGTCACCACTTCCTGGGAATGCAGAGTGGTGTGCCTGGAATCACATGGCTTCCTTTCTCCTTCCAGAGGAAAAAAAGAACTCCCCTCCCTCCCTATTCCCTCCCTCCTCTCTTTCTCACATTCTCTCCCCCCGCCCAGGCCGGGATTTTTCACAGATGTAGAAAATGCCAGTGAGGACTGAAGTTGCTAGAGCTGACAGATTCTGCCCCGGCTTACTTTACTCAAACAAAGACCACATCCACACGAGAAGAAGATGCTTTCCATAAGCAGTTCCTCCAGCATAACACATTTCCCTCTTGCTAATCACATTGTCTTTAGGCTCCAAGAGGCTGATTTGCAGACAACCCTCTGAAGAGTATTTGTGTGAAAGCACGGTGCACATACTTGGCACACGTGGTTTTTTCAAGTGTCTGCTTAGCTATCTTGTGCATGAGAACTGTTAGGAAGACAAAGAGAAAGAGGAAGGAAAGCTCTAGAATAGATACCACTGAGCTACAGCTCCCACCGTGGCTGATATTTGCTCGTTAATATCTGACAGCCAAGTGCTGGAGGAGACTGATGGTCAGGACGACCAGTTGAGTCATAAAATGCACTGCCAGAGTGAATCCATGGACTTTTATTGCCCTGATAATGGCCTGGCTGAGGTGTTAGAGACACAGCTTTAATTGACAGTATGTGGAGTCAGATTTCCCAACTGTTAGAAATTAAGCACATTTATTTCTTACAAATTAAATTACCTGGAAGGGGGTGGGGAATCAGCCTCAGGTGCAGAAATATTTCATGTTTACCAACCAAACAGGTCAGTTGCTAAATAGCCCTGCTGGGTCCTGACACTTGGCCCAGAAATGGCATCTGTCTTCCTAACAGAGGGGAAGAAATGGTGACCTGGGAGGAAGGGTTTCACCCCCCCCCCCCCCCCCCGTCACCTTTCCCAGCACAGGAGGGACAAGGACAGGCCCATCATTTCCTCCCAGTAGATGATTGAGGTGCATGGGAGACACCGCCATGCTCGCCTCCTCACGTGGACGGCGGATGACGGAGGTACTCTAATGGTCTCTATGTGGTTTTAACTTTCCAGTGAGGACACAAGGAAGTGGGGATGGCATCCGGTTCTGTGGTGCCACCTTCGTCCCCGAGGCTTTCTACCTTGAGCCTGATGTCCTGAAACACTAGGGGCATGGACCTGGGTGACAGCTCAGGCCACAGGGTAGGGACGCTCTGCCCAAGATCCACACCAGGCCATGGCCGCCGACATCTGCTCTTGCTCCTTTCTCGGAGGCAGACGATGGAAACTTTTAGTTATTCTGAATCCCAAGCTCCAGGAAACCTGCTGCTTGTTCAGCAGGGCCTCCTCCATCTTCCTGGATGGCACAAAATCTGTGTGGTCCCTCATGACCTTCCCCATGACCCCGAGGAACAGCACCAAGACAAACTGGCAACCAGAGCGCCTGGCTCCTCTGACTGGGATAGCACCCGGGGCTGCCCTCCACCTTGAAAGCCGGGGGCAGGAGGGAGGGAGTGGGTGTGGCACGGAGTGGGGTCCTCACCCACAAGGAGGGGATTGGGTTCTTCTGTGTGCCTGAGACACAGACTCTGCAAAACACATGCAAAGCAACTCGACACAAGCAAACTCATGGACCCTTCCAGAGCCCGGGGGCTGATGGCAGCTGGCCCAAGACAGAAGCTTCTAGAAGCACATCTGTGATCAAGGCACAGCGTTCTGCCTCCTGGCTGCCAAGGTGGAACACAGGCTCTAACTGAAGCCTAAGGCGACCTCTAGGCCAGTGCCTCTCTTGAGTACGAGTGGAGGAGGCAGCAAGGCGGCTGGAAGAGAAATTCCCTCCTGCTCTATGGCCGTCACAAAGAGCCCCCCAAATCACCAGCTACAGGACCCAGAAATTTAGGGGGATTAAAAAAAACCCAACACATTACCAAGCATAGATCGTCATATGACCGGCGCCAATGGATCTCCTCATACATCTGACTTGGTGTTTGCCCTGTGGGTTCCGGCAGAGGCGGCGGCTCAGGACACGGCAGCCCCGTGTCTCATTCCTGGTCACCCGTCTCCATTCCTCACCTTCTTTTCTGGGAGCATGTTTAAACCAAGAGATCTACATAACTCCCCACAGATAACAGGACGTGTTCACTCAGGGAAACGCTTCCCAGTGTCTAGTCTGAGTCCTGGGGAAAACAGAAGTGGTAGTATGTTCCACCCTTACTCACTCCCTGCCCTCAGGGGCTGGTGGGCAGAGCTGAGGTGCACACTACCCCGACTCCATGTCTAGGAGTATGCCTGGACTGCGATCCTCCCACTGTCAGCCTCCCAAATAGCTAGGATGATAGGCCTGAGCCACTGAGGCCCAGCTCAGAAATGAACTTTTTACAATCCACACCCACATGGCAGAGGCACGGGGGGCCATCAGAGGGTAGCAGGGCTTCCTCTCCACAAGTGAGGAGCCACACTTCGGGGGAAACACCCAGAG